ATTTACTGATTGGGTAGTTTCCAGTCAGTAATTATCTAATATAATGAAAAAGTGTTAGACACGTATATTTTTTATTTTCTCGTATTAAGTAGCAATATCTAGATAAAATGGCGCTAAGTTTAGGAGTTAGGGAGGTCGTTACGTCATAACGTACTACAAAATGTGGCACGCTTTGACGTCACACGATACTTTCAAATTAATAAATCGTCGAAAGTATTTAATTTTGTGAGAAAATAAAAAATAAGTGTCTAAAGTTTTAAATTAATGTACCAAGCGGACATTAAAATAAAATTTACGAAACTACCCTATTACACTAAGCCCAGAATTATAATTATATAGTGCAAGACAAATAATAGGACACCAATCATATAAAATCACATTTAGACATTTCTCTTAAGATCTAACAAGCGTAATGAATGATGTTTGAAGTCAGGACACAATTTTTCTTCCCTCGATCAAAAGGAAATAACCTCATTTGTTTACTGAAACTAGATTTTATCGTGAATAGATTTCGTTGAACCCTCAATTGGTTCATACACATTGATTACCGATACTTAGGTTACAAAATGGAATAGTGATTATTTACGTATTAAGTATATTGTGTACAATAGATAAAGATTTGTAGGACATAATAAAACTCATTTGATAAAGTGCATGATAATAGTAATTTTTGTAAATTTTGTAGGATTTTTTTTTTGAAGGGGGGAAAATCATCGAATGACTGCTCCCGCCAGGGTGAGGCGGGAGGGAGTGTCAGACTCTTACTGACTATAAACCACCCCGTTCCTTCTCCTGCACGTCAAGCCGGAGCCCCGGTAACCCGTTAGGTTCTCCGCGACTCCGGCATCAGCCCTGTTGGGCCCCATCCGTGGTGGTCTGATGGCTCATTGAGGCGCGCGCAAAAGTTTGTAGTACAATGGTTCAATGTAACTAGACCAAAGATTTGAAAAGACCTGACCCGAATTAAAATTTATACTAGCTGTATCATTATTTGTATTAGTATACAAATAACTAACAAAATAGGTATATAAATAAAACAGTTAGTGCTGTACCAGCAATTTCGTCTACGTTTTTCTAAAATAAAAGTATATGCTTATGTTACTCCTTAGCACACTACCTGCCAATTAAAGTGCCGTCAAAATCGGTCCGGCCATTTCACAGATCAGCCAGTGCATACATACAGACAGACACAAATTGTAAAAGTGTTATGTTTGTATATGTTTATTAATATGCAAAAAGCAGTTATTTCAATTTCACAAACAGATACGTTATTTTTTTTATCTGTATGTATATATGCATAGACAAGTTCCATACTATTGTTTCGTTAATTTACACATTTAGTAATCGAAAAACAATTGAAGTAATTTGATCCTTATTCCTTAATACTTCTAAGGTCAAAAATGATGCTATACTGTTGTAAATAGTAAGCTAAACTATTTAAAAATATACACGAGTAAAATTGTAAGCAAAAGGATTATTACGCTATTGTTAACTCTTTTCATTGGAAAATAAACGTTGGCACTTTGTATTAAGGTTTAAAAAGCTTTCAATCTTTTATCTGGCTTCCTGATCCGTCTTCTTTTGTAAAGCTTACGTATTATGAAGATAAATGTAAGTTCCATGTAACATTACGTCATGGCTTTTATTTCCCTAACGGGTGGAGAAAGCCAAGGTGTTTCCTATACATGGTGCATGTAAAGAATAAAATCCATTTTTACACATTTTTTTCTTCCGAAGTCGTCTATTGCCACATTCTTAAATAAAAAATGGTTTTGATTCAAACATCTACTTGTGAAATAAGGGAGAAGAGTACGTTTGGCACATTTGCCACTATGGCTATCTCTTTCCATGTTTGACAGAGATTGTACATCATTTTTTTCAGCCGAACCTGAACTTTCTCCCAAAGTTGTTTATTTCTTTGACTGCCCCATTGGCCGAGTGGTCGCAAGTGCGACTGCCGAGCAAGGAGTCTCGGGATTGATTCCCGGGTCGAGCAAAGTATTACTGGGTTTTTAAAAATCCCAGTCCCAGCACGGAGTCTGGAATAGTGCCCGGTATATGGCAATAGGCTCACCCCCTATTACATGGGACTCATAACATAAATCGTGAAAAGTGGGTGTTACATTGTACAGTGGCATTAAGTGCGGTAATGTGCATCTCTGCCTACCCCTTCAGGGAAGACAGGCGTGATGTTATGTATGTATGTATGATGTCAAGCCTACTGGACAGGTCTGGATGGTCCAGCAGAGGATTGATGACTGTTGATGATGATATCTTAACTTAAATGATGGCTTAATCTCGACATGAAATGAACCCAAGCTCCATTGCTAAGCAGTCATGTTTGCAATCACTAAACAACGAAGCAATCTCTCACTATACATTACAATGTACTTGATATATCATCAAACGATGCACAGAATGGAAGGGGTGACAGGGGGGGAGACAAGAGGCTTTTACGAAGGGGGATGAAAACTGTGAGTAATGGATGTTTGACGCGAATTAGAAAATATATGGTGCAGACCTTGAAATGCTTCTAGCTTGAAGTGGTCCTATATAACTCGTGCTTTGTCAGAAATGTAGAAATAATATAACATCACGCCTTTTATCCCCGAAGGGGTAGGCAGAAGTGTACATTATGCTACTGTACAATGTAACACCCACTTTTCACTATTTATGTTATGAGTCCCATGTAATAGGGAGTGAGCCTATTGCCATATACCGGGCACAATTCCAGACTCCGTGCTACTACTGTGAATTTTATTGAAAAACCCAGTAATACTTTGCCCGACCCGGGAATCGAGCCCGAGACCCGTTGCCCGGCAGTCGCACTGGCGACCACTCAGCCAACGAGGCAGTCATATGTAGTTTTTAGTTAGTTACTCTTATGATACGTGTACTTGACCAAAGTGTCACAGATTTATTATTCACATTCTGGCAATGTTTATTGTTTTAGGTTAGGTACCTAATTACTTCCTAACGGTTAAAATTAAAACATGATGAATGATTGAACCGAATAATGATAATCCAGTACAGTACATATAAGCATTAACTTAAACTCGCGGCTTAGTTTAAAATCGCGGTCATGCACGATAAGGAAAAGCGCCTCTATTGGTCGAAACTAGTAGAACTAGTTGTTTACTTATTAGAAAAATATCATTAACTTATATGTAAAATTGTTTGTTGCATCCTGTCTTCAAAGTATTCACGAAAGAAAAGTTTTATAAATACAAGCTCAAAATACAGTAAATAGCTGTAAATAGCTCCACAACGATGTATGGGCGGGGCCCGAGAACATAATACTAACGGCTAACCAAACAACAGTATACATAAAGTAGTTTCCAAACGTACCTACGCATTTCCAAAGTTGTAGGCAGTAATAATAGAATTCCTAAGATTGCGTGCTTGCCAGGCCTTTTACTTGGAACTTTCGCAAACTTCGTAATTAATGGCAGCTCATTAAACAATTTACGTGTAATGTAAAGGCTTTACATACCCATGTCAACGAGGTATAACATTGCGGATTGTATTATGTGAAAGGCGTGTAGAACCATTAGGTTGGCAGGCCACAACTGTGCGCTTTTAACGTAGCTTTCTGCGTCGTACAGCCAAACAGTGGAATGATCTGTCGTCGGCGGTATTTCCGAACCGATACGACCTTCAAACCTTCCAGAAAAGAGCGTATTCCTTTTTAAAAGGCCGCAACGCACCTGTGTTTCCTCTGGTGTTGCAGGTGTCCATGGGCGGCGCTGATCGCTTACCATCAGGTGATCCGTCTGCTTGTTTGCCTCCTTTTCCATATAAAAAATTAGGCGCCTTTTTTGTGGAGAGAAATTATCCATTAACATTTCTCGCCTTGGGTAATGCGACTTCCAGACTCTTACTGACTAAAAACCAACCCGTTCCTATTGTTGCTTCAATTGGAGCTGGAGCTTCACGTAAATATAGCTTACATTATCCGAGTGTTACAAATCAAAATTAGTATAGTCAGAAACCGAATCCATTCGAAATTAACTGGCAACTAAATCAAAGACAACATCATACACATACTCTCAATATTCTGTCGCGGAGAACCTAACGGGTTACTGGGGCTCCGGGTCGACGTGCAGGTGAAGGAACGGGGTGGTTTATAGTCAGTAAGAGTCTGACACTACCTCCCGCCTCACCCAGGCGGGAGCAAAAAAATCTCAGTATTCTCATTCAAAGACTAGACATAGCGTTTTGACTACTACATTAGGCTTTGCTTTGCAGTTAGATTTTTCATCGAAAAATCCAATTTCCGACCTCGTTTTTAACGTTCAATATCGTTTAAAACTACCCCAAGCCTTTATTTACAAACGGTTCTTCTATTTTGTCTGGTTATTTCCCAACTGGTTTCGGTATGCCTGCCACAAAGGTTTTCAGCTTTTTGTAATAAAGAACTAGGATTTCTAATTCAGCAGCCTTGTAAATGCGATGAGACTGATGAGAAAATTTTATATATCTAAATTGTAGCTACTATTTTGGTGTGAAAATGTTTGTTCAAATTATGTTAGACTGCCTTGCCGCGTGTGCTCGTTGGCCGAGTGGTCAGCGAGTGCGGTTGCCGGGCAAGGGGTCTCGGGTTCGATTCCCGGGTCGGGAAAAGTATTATTAGGTTTATTTTTAATTCTCAGTAATAATAGCACGTAGTTGGGAAATGTGCCCAGTATATGGTAATAGCCTCACACTCTCTGTTACATGGGATTAAACTTAAATAGTGAAAAGTTGGTGTTACATTGTACAGTGGCATCAAGTGCCGTAATGTGTACCGCTGCCTACCCCTTCGGGATTAAAAATTCAGGTTTTAGTCAGTAAGAGTCTGACACTCCCTCCCGCCTCACCCAGGCGGGAGCAGTCGATGATTTTCCCCCGTTAAAAAAAAACGGTATTTCACTGATTGTCATTTTAGACAAATTTTTATGGTTTACATTTTCATACATTTGCTGTTACACGCTAATACATACAGCTTTATTTTGTTACAGATACGATAACGTCCGTAACCGAAGGTCCAGACCTTCAAGACAAGTCTACCAGAAGAAGTCAGCCACACTCGTCGCGCATCTCCGCCGGTGAGAGCGGTAAAGCTTTCACTAGTTGATCCATAGATTAGTTACCATCACACACCATATAGGACCTACTACAATTCTCCGATATGAAATTTCGTTATAGAAAATTCTAATCATTTTAAACTGTTTCGAACTCATGCAAAGAAATCAAATCAATAGATGAATACGATTAAGTATATTCCTTGCCACAGATTATTCGTTTAATAACGAAATTTTGTTTCGTAAAATTGTAGTAGACCTCCAGTTTCATTCACTGCGTCGCTCGTGAAGTTTGATATACTGGAGAGTTTACATTAACTCCTATCATAACCAGAATCTACAATTAAGTACTAGTTATAGTATTACATTTGACACTTCATTCATACTCTTATATTTCACCTCTCTTTCTTATGGTCTAACTCAAACAAGTATACCAGTCGTACATGTACACTTTTAACACAAAACATCAAAATAGAATTGATCGAATAGTCCATATCAGTAAAACTAACTGCACTTATTGTCATTTAATCAACAATACAATCATTCTCTTCAAAATGATACCTCTCATTCATTAATCACCACATTTCTTAAAGTGTGAGAGAGCCATGCTTTGGCACGAATGGGCCGGCTCAACCGGAGTGATAACACGGCCTCACAGAAAACCGACGTGAAGCAACGCTTGCGTTGTGTTTCATCATGTGTGTGAGGTTACTGGAGCCCAATTATCTCCCCAATCTACCCAATCCAACTCCAACAATCCTCAAATTCCTAATTCCCAAAAGGCCGATAACGCATAGTAACGCCTCTGGTGTTCGGGTGTTCGTGGGCGACGCCGATTGCTTACCATCAGGCGATCTGTCTGCTCATTTACCTCTACATGGTTATTAAAAAAAACCCAACACACACCTTAAGAAATCAGAACTTTTCCGACAATAACTTACGAGTTTCCTAACACGCCCACAATGAACCAAACTACCATACTACTAGAAGTATGTTTATAAACCAAACTGTGTCTAAACAGAACCCAAATAACGTTCCTACTTTACGACGATCCGTAGCACTTTGAACAGAAGTTTAGGAATACTTACCTTCGCCACGCCTTTACGACATTCGAATTGACACTATCAACGCTTTCATTAAGATGTGTTTAGTCGACTTTAGCGTATTAGATGTATGTAGGTATAAGAATGTTGGATAGTTATTTGTGTTTGTAATTAGTTGGTATTTATTAGTTTTTTTAAGGGGGGAAAATCATTGAATGACTTCTCCCGCCTAGTTGAGGCGGGAGGGAGTGTCAGACTCTCACTGACTAAAAACCAGCCCGTTCTTTTTATTTACCTTTTACGTTACTAACCTTTTACGTTCTCCGCGGCTCCGTATCGGCATCAGTCCTATTGGGCCCCATCCGTGGTAGTCTGATGTCTATTTATTAGGTATAGAAACTAGCTTATTGGATATAGACCAAAATTGCGCTTCAGGCCATTGAATGTTTGGTTAACAGTATGTTCTAGATTTTCGGTGAATTTTGACCTAATTGCGATCACCGTACCGCCTTCTAAGCAAGGAGACTATGACTCCTAAGTTGGAAGCCTTTTAAGTTTTAACAGTATTCCAGTAAAATCTGATGAAAAATATGATTCTTACCTCCATTTTTATTTACTCCTCTCATTTAAAAAATAAGAACACTATGTTTATTTCCTAAACTAGATTAAGGTTACAATAATTAAGACAAATCCAACCTAATCGACTCAGCAGTTAAGCAGCAAATTGCGACTATAGCAGAGCAGTGTCGCTGCCAAATATCTCTATATAGCTAAATCTGAATAGCCTTTACAGTTCTGTAACTACTAAGGCCGTTGTTCTGTGGCTATAAATAAAGATAAATTTATAGCCGCCGCATGCTATGTTTATAGCCGATGCATGCCACACAAGTTTTAGATGTAGGATTAGAACGTGTTTGAGCTAGGCATAAAATCTAGTGTTTGAAAAATGTTTATTTTTACGATGTTTTTTTACCGACAGTTAAAATATTGGCGGTTTTATAATAGAGCATACTTATTTGCATGTTTATTATAAACAAGGGTGTAATTAAGTTTTATTTTCGTAATCTGAATATTGATTTAACTCGTCGAGTACCTACTGTCATTATAGACACAATTATAGAACAATAGGTTGCGGTCACCAGTGACCGCTTGGTGTTTGACAGTTTAAGCTTGTGGTTGCAAGTTTTTGACGCCAGTTAAAAGGTATAGGTACAATAATTCGTTCTTTTCAGTACTCGTGGTTAATTTTGGTCTTATTTATGTACTACCCTTAATAAAATCATCAAGTTTCATTTGTCTCCAATTAGTTCCTATAGACAAAAACAAACTGCCTCATTGGCCGAGTGTAAGTGCTACTGCCGGGCAAGGGGTCTCGGTTTCGATTCCCGGGTCGAGCAAAATCGTAAGATTTTTATTTATTTAATATATATGTAAATGAAGAAGCTAAGTTAGCCCTTCATTTAATTTAAATTTCCCGCGTATTTTAGTTTAGACTTTATACGTCAGTATAATCTGTGGTGACAGCTTTTTTCCACTATGTCAAAGACAATGGTTTTGTTTCGTCTCGAGATTTTAGAATAAGCGCGAAAGATATTTGTGAAAATTATTTTTAAAATAAGGATACAAAGGATTGTTTGAAGCAATAGCTCTTAATGTTGTTTCTTTTACAGGTTAGTGGACCATAATGTTTATCTAATACTAATTACCTAAGTGAGTTGTGTATTTGCAAACCATTTCATTGGTTATGTTGTATTTATAATTAAACTTTCTTTTACAGAGCAACAACATAAGTATCTTGTTTCATTATCCAACCTATTACATATATATTTAAATTTTAATTTTAATTTTAAATTTTAAATAATTCTCAGTACTTAGTTGCACGGGGTCTAGAATTGTGACCGGTATATGGTAATAGACTGACCTCCTATTACATGAGACTCATAACATAAATAGTGAAGAGTGGGTGGATAGTGGACGTTAAGTGCCACAATGTGCACCTCTGCCTACCTCTTCGGGGATAAAAAGCGTGACGTTATGTATGTGTATACCTCTACAAAAACCATAAACGCTATTTACATCGTGTGAATACGCTAATATCTATTATGCAGTTTTTTGGCTCATAGCATAGATCTGATGTTTCCTGTATTATTTTTATGGGAGGAAAATCATCGAATGACTGCTCCCGCCTGGGTGAGGCGGGAGGGAGTATCAGACTCTTACTGACTAAAAACCACCCCGTTCCTTCTTCTGCACGTCGAGCCGGAGCCCCGGTAACCCGTTAGGTTCTTTCCTGTATAGGTTGTCTATCTAGGCAGTTACTCTGTAAGTCCAAAAATACATTATTGCATTAAGGCTTCCATGTTGAACCATAAAAACAGAAAACAAACTGAGCAAGAAATGATAGAATAAAATTTTAAACCTACTGACCTACTTATATTCGGATCTGAAGGACATCGGTATTGTCATGACAGCATAAAGGTTTCATAACATAATATGTAGCAATATGTATGTATATATGTATGTGTGTATCGTTCATTATAGTCTGGGGTCCAAGTTGCGTGTCTATGTTTGTATTTTCGATGTGTCAATCAGTATGTTGATCGACCTTCCTTGCCTAGTATAGCTATGAAGAGTTGATTACTTATTTATAGACTTGGTCCATATCCACCATAATTCATTTAAAGGAGTACCAAGGTAATGAGAAATTGTACAACAAACATATTGTTGTTTAAAAGAGTAACGAATTGAGTTTCTTGCTCGTTATTCTCCACTGGAATCTACATTTTGGAATGAGCACCTAGCTTCACTGATGGACAGACTGACAGACTATTATTTATATTGTATTTGTTGATATTTCGAAAGTACTAAATTATGGTTTAATGGTTTAATTGAAATAAATGCTTTGACTTCACTTGAACGCAATTTATGAAATGACTATCAGTCGGACGGCAGTACACAGAACTTCTCCGTTCTTGAAAATATTTATATCTCTTTTCTCGGATTATATTATCCGCGACTGTTATTCGGATGAACCAAATCTGAACATAGCAACCAAAAAAGCGAATGCACAAGAAAGATGCGTCCTTTTAACATCGTCTTGGATTACCTGATGGTAAGCAATCGCTCATGCACTTGACACCTGCAATACTAAAGGAGTACACGTGCGTTTGTCTGCCTTCTAAGGGTCAGTCTAGGACAGCCATGCTTCGGCACGAAGTGGCCGTCTCGACCGCAGTGATGTATCCACGGCCTCTCAGAAAACCGACGTAAAACTACGCTTGCGTTGTGAGAGTGAGGTTACTGGAGGCCCAATCACCCCCTCGGATTCCCAACAATCCTCAAATTCCTAATCCCCAAAAGGCCGGTAACGCACTTGTAACGCCTCTGGTGTGGTGTCCATGGGCGACGCCGATTGCTTACCATCAGGTGATCCGTCTGCTCGTTTACCGGCTTATACCATAAAAAAGACGTGATTGGACCTCTATTTTATATAAATTGTATGTACTATATCTAACAGCAAATCATTTTCCAGAATGGAGCGGTGCAACGGGTGGTCCTCCTGCAGAAGTAGTGCTGCGGTTACATCCACCATCCTCGACGTCACGAGTCAACGCTTCGTTAGCTGACGTCGGTAGGTAAAGCAGAGAATGAGAGTGAAGAGAGAGAGAAAGAGAGACGGAGGGAAACTTTTGTAAATAAGTAGGTACAGTTTAAAAATTAAATAGGTTCAACCCTAACATGAGACTCATAACATAAATAGTGAAAAGTGGGTGTTACATTGTACAGTGGCATTAAGTGCCGTAATGTGCACCTCTGCGTACCTCTTCGAGGATAAAAGGCGTGATGTTATGTTGTGTTTAAAAATTATAGTTAATAAGAAACCGCTGTCATCTGGGAAAATTCTACTACTACCTACTAATTCTGAAAATGAAATATCATGTAATAGTTTCCAACAATCAATTTCACAATCAATAACATAAACTTTTATAAATAAGTAGTAAGATAAATAATACTGCCTCGTTGGCCGAGTGGTCGTAAGTGCGACTGCCGGGCTAGGGGTCTCGGGTTCGATTCCCGGGTCGGGCAAAGTATTACTGGGTTTTTTCAAATATTCTCAGTAGTAGCACGGAGTCTGGAATTGTGCCCGGTATATGGCAATAGGCTCACCCCCTATTACATGGGACTCATAACATAAATAGTGAAAAGTGGGTGTTACATTGTACAGTGGTATAATGTGCACCTCTGCCTACCCCTTAGGGGATAAAAGGCGTGATGTTATGTTATGTTATAAATAATAACTCGAACGATTCTCTTAGACTTAAATCTGAAATCTACTAGGTACTTTAGATTTATTTACGAAGAGAACTTTCTCCGAAGCACCTTCTTAAAGGAAGTCGCAAAATAAATTTATGGGAACACTTTTAAAGTTCAACATAAAAATTTACTTAAGAATTTAAAATCTTAGTTACGTAGGAATGTTGGCAGGTCGTCAAAATGTGTTATGTCGTTCTTTGGACGTGTGTAGCAGAAAATTACGCAATTCCTTGCAAGTAGTGCATGTAGGACATAATAAAAGTTTCATACTCTTTTTTATAACTTTTGTAATGACAGTGCATAACATCACACATTTATATATACAAAGTTAGGTATCTACAAAATTTATTACAGAAAAATTAATTAACATTTGGGAACTGTTTATGTAATCTATACTAATATTATAAAGAGTAGAAAAATTTGTACCTATTTTTGTATGTTTGTAATGAATAGGCTGAAAAAGTACAGGGCTGATTTAAAAAAATTCTTTCACCAATAGAATGCTACATTCTTCCAATTTAACATAGGTTACATTTCATTTAGAAAAAAATTAGGGATCCTTGGGAAAATTTGAACAATGTAACCGAAGGTGGAAAATGTCTTTCGTCGAATGCGCTGCCGAAACTATTCGCGATAGAACAAAATACTGTAACTACAACAATATTGATGAACATCATAATGTCTACAAAAAACTTCGCGGTATGTCCAACTATTGTAGTTATGTCACTACAACAATCCAAATTTCCAAAAATAAATAATTGTCTACCCCGTGCGAAACCGGGACGGGCTGCTAGTTTGATATAAATGGATTATGTACAGCTGTAATTGGACTTGGGATGTAAGGGAGGACAACACCATCTAAGTACCCCCAGCCAACCTCACCTGCTCGTGGTACATCCTGCCGATTAACGGACGAGGCTCTGGCGACCGACACATGGCGGTATAACCATGCTATATAGGCGTAGACAAATTAAATAGACTAGTGGCGGGGAGCAGCGTCCCTAGTGCGAGAAACTACGCCCTGCGATCACCAACCCGCCTGCCCAGCGTGGTGATTATGGGCATTACCTTTAATGGCGCACCCAATAAAAAAACGGCCCCTAGTTCCCGGTCGCCCCGCTATTCCCGGCCAAGTCGGCGGTCGTGGTAACGGCGGGACAAGGGGTGCTAAGAATCCCCGGGCTACGAAAGGCCGACAACACCAACTGACCCTGGCTACGTACAACGGACGCACGCTACGGCTCGATGAACATTTGGCGCAGCTTGAGGTGGAGCTGGGAAATGTGAGGTGGCATGTTCTGGGGTTATGTGAGGTCCGAAGACAGGGGGAGGATACCGTAACCTTGGAATCCGGCCATCTCTTGTATTTCAGAGAGGGAGACCAACCATCACAGGGTGGCGTCGGGTTTTTGGTCCACAGGTCTCTCGCAGTCAGCTTTGTAGAGGTCTCCAGTGTGTCGGCAAGGGTAGCGTACGTTGTGATCAAACTCACCAAGAGGTATAGCCTAAAGGTCGTCCAAGTATACGCGCCTACCTCGACATACTCGGATGATGAGGTAGAGGAAATGTATGAAGACATTACCAGAGCCTTGCACACCACCCAAAAGGCCCACTTCAACGTTGTCATGGGAGACTTCAATGCCAAAGTGGGAGTACATAATAGCGGCGAATCGGTAGTAGGACCACACGGATTTGGAAGCAGGAACCATAGGGGGCAAATGCTTGTCAACTTCCTAGAGAAGGAGGGACTGTTCTTGATGAACTCCTTCTTTAAGAAGCAGCCTCAAAGGAAGTGGACGTGGCGAAGCCCCGATGCTATGACGAAAAATGAGATAGACTTCATTATGACGGACAAGAGACGAATATTCAGAGATGTCTCAGTAATCACAAGGTTTAATACCGGAAGTGATCACCGACTGGTACGAGGCACTCTAAATATCAAATACAAACTCGAGCGTGTCCGTCTCATGAGGTCTACGCTGCGGCCGAACTTGCTCCAAACCGTAGCTGGATCTGAAGCATTCCAATTAAAGCTGGAGAACCGGTTTGCTGCTTTGGAAACCACAAATGACGTTGATATTGACCAGAAACTTGAGGAAATGGTCGGGATCCTCCGGGATGAAGGAACAAAATTGTGCCGGACGCAGAATACCGGACGGAGGGCCAAGCTTTCGGGAGAGTCTCTGCAGCTAATGGAGAGACGACGGGAAAACCAAACAGTCGCTTCGTCAGATCTTAACAAAAAGATTTCAAAACTGGTGAAACGCGACCTCCGATGCGCCAATACACGCGCAATAAAAGAAGCAATCGAGCAAAATCGGGGGTCTAAAGTCTTCATCCAGCAATTGGGTCGAAGTCATCTGACGAAGCTGACCACATCAAGTGGGAAAGTCGTATCTTCTAGGCCGGAGATTCTCGCGGAGGTTCGGCACTTCTACGGTGAGTTGTACGCGTCAAAAGCACCTCGTCCTCATTCAGATTCGGGGGATCCCAGAGCCACACTTGTCCGCCACTTCACCGAAGACTTGCCAGAAATCAGCCTAGGTGAGATCGCGGTGGCTTTGGGGCAACTTAAAAATGGAAAAGCCCCCGGAGAAGATGGAATCACGACGGAGCTCCTTAAGGCAAGTGGAAAACCGGTGCTCGAGCGACTCCGACGTATGTTTGATTCCGTTCTCTTCTCGGGGAGAACTCCAAGGGCATGGAGCAGGAGTGTTGTCGTTATGTTCTTTAAGAAAGGAGACAAAACCCTCTTGAAGAACTATCGACCTATTTCCCTTCTGAGCCATGTCTACAAGCTGTTTTCCAGAGTCATCACTAACCGTCTCGCCCGAAGACTCGACGAGTTTCAGCCCCCTGAGCAGGCTGGGTTCCGAGGAGGATACGGCACCATAGACCACATACATACAATGAGGCAGATTATACAGAAGACTGAAGAGTATAATCTGCCCCTATGCCTAGCCTTTGTGGATTACGAGAAAGCCTTTGACTCTATTGAAACCTGGTCTGTTCTGGAGTCCTTGCAACGGTGCCAAGTCGATTGGCGATATGTCCAAGTGCTGAGAGATCTATACGATGCTGCAACTATGGTCGTCCAAGTACAGAACCAGCAGTCTGAACCTGTCCACCTGCATCGGGGGGTAAGACAAGGCGATGTCATTTCTCCCAAATTATTTACCAATGCTTTGGAGGATATGTTCAAGACGCTGCACTGGAATGGACGGGGCATAAATATAAACGGCAAGTATCTCTCACACTTGAGATTTGCAGATGACATCGTCATCGTGGCTGAAACCGTGCAAGACCTACAATATATGCTGAACAGCCTGGCTGATTCTTCTGCTCGCATTGGACTCCGGATGAACCTAGACAAAACGAAGGTCATGTTCAATGAACATGTTCTTCCGGAGCCGATCACCCTGAATGGGTCTACTCTCGAGGTTGTTCAGGAGTATGTCTACCTAGGACAAACCCTACAGTTTGGTAGAAACAACTTCGAGAGGGAGGCTCGTAGAAGGATACAGCTTGGCTGGGCGGCATATAGGAAACTCTATCGGGTCTTTTCGTCAACTCTACCGCAAAGCCTGAAGACGAAAGTCTTCAACGAGTGCGTCCTACCAGTCATGACATACGGAGCCGAGACGTGGACACTAACAGTGCGACTGGTCCACCAATTTAAGGTAGCGCAGCGAGCTATGGAGAGGGCTATGCTCGGAGTATCTCTGAAGGATAGGATCCGTAACGAGGTGATCCGACAGAGAACTAAAGTTACCGATGTAGCCCAAAGGATTAGCAAGCTGAAATGGCAGTGGGCCGGTCACATTTGTCGAAGAACCGATGACCGCTGGGGTAGACGTGTTCTAGAGTGGAGACCGCGTCTAGGCAAACGTAGTGTAGGGCGCCCTCCAGCTAGGTGGAGTGACGATATACGTAAAGTGGCTGGTAGTGGTTGGATGCGTAGAGCTGAAGACCGAGCTCAGTGGCGTGCCATTGGAGAGGCTTATGTCCAGCAGTGGACGAAAACAGGCTGATGATGATGATGATGTAATTGGACTTCAGATTCGCTCACTATTTATAATAAAGATTGTTGTGTACGATTTCAATATGTCGTCTGTATCTGTACTTATGTAAAATAAATAAGCGAAGGTACACATTATTTTGTTACACCCACTTTTCTACAGCTATGATTTAAGTCCTATATAACAGAGAGTGAGTCTTTTCTCATACAAACTGACGTGAAACAACGCTCAAGTTGTGTTTCGTCGTGTGAGGTTACCGGAGGCCCAATTACGCCCCCTCCCCAATCTCCCCAATTCCCGAATCCTCAACAATCCTCAAATTTCCAATTCCCAGCAATGCACTTAAAACGCCTCGGTGTTTCAGGTGACCATGGACGGCGACGATCGCTTACCATCAGGCGATGCGTATGCTCGTTTACCGGCTTATACAATAAAAAAAAATACAAGGGGCGCAATTCCAGACGCCGTGCCGTACTTTTTGTAGTGTTTCACCTAATACCTAATTCAGGAGTTACCTAGAGTGAGACTTACCTCTAAAATAAACATATTATAAGTCGAAATAAATCAAAATACTTGTCTAATCTATACATATATAATAAAATCGCAGGACAGTCAAAACTGTACATTGGTTATTTTTTTTAAACAATACTTGGGACATGATACAATCTGTATCGAAGCCAAAAATATGCTTTATAGATTTTTGTCTGTTTGTCTTTATGTATGTCCTGGCTAAACTCAAAAAGTACTGCATAGATTTGCTACAAATTTTGAATGAATATTACCAACAGATCGCTGTAACATATAGGCTACATCAGGGGAGCTGTAAAGAAGTATCCAAAGTCCTTTTTCCACGCGAACTAAGTCGCGGGCACAACTAATATTCTTATCTAATATTGTACGCTCACTAAAAACCTAGACTTACTTTATCTAATTAAAGGGCACCACCTCCCAAAACCGCTGCAACTCTTGTAAGCCAGGATCGACAGTAGATACAACCATGCAAACACCGGAATACTGAAGTCCGGCGCGTCTCAGGGACATGAATAACTGTTTTGGTTCCCACAACGAAGTGAACCAGAAGATATTATAAGAGGAGAAGAAAAAAAACGATAGTTTCCACTTACTTCGATGAATTACTGCAGGAGACAGAATGAATTAAACCTAAAGGCACAAAAAGAGGCTGTACAACTGAGTGAACCCCAGTCTCCAAGCACCATGGCAACTTGACTAAAAACTAAGTCTTACTTCTTACTTACTTAACTCTTTATACTCATCATAAAAAACACAATTAAGTTCTTTAAACCTAACTTATTCACAAACATTACAGCTGACTGGTCTTCAAAAACATTTTCTATCGTACTAGACTCGCCTTGATATTTAACTGAATCGACAATAACTGGGTCTTATCGAAATGTTTTCTGGGTTAACTGTGTAGACGTCAAACTGTCAGTTTGCGGTTTGTGGATACAAATCAAATCAATACCAAGCAATACTGAGCCACGGCTTACAACTGTCTGTAGTATGTCTTTTATAACTTAATGGCTGGATTGTATACTATTAAAGGGTTCTAGGTATATTTGTCGATACATAATACGGATATTACTGGGTTACATAGGTTAATGGGTTTTAAAAAAAAGTCTCAGTAGTAGCACGGAGTCTGGAATTGTGCCCAGTATATGGCAATAGGCTTACCCCCTATTACATGGGACTCATAACATAAATAGTAAAAAGTGGGGGTTACATTGTACATTGTAGTGACATATTGTGCACCTCTGCCTACCCCTTCGGGGATAAAAGGCGTGATGTTATGTATGTTATGTAATACAGATATAAAATATTTTTTGGGTCTGAAGGAAACTAAAATGTGACACACTTCTCATAAGTATTGTCAATAGTTAGTATTACCATAATCGGCGTTTCCATGGTTTTATCTGCTGTAGATCTTGGCTTACAGGAGTTGCAGTAGTTTTAGGAGGTCGTGGCAGGCTGGTTCCAATGAAAAGAAGTGTTATCACAATGTAAATCTTCGTCTTTTTTGCCATCAAAAATTTCATAAGGAATAGATTAACAGTTTCATTATTCGTACAGATTATACATACAAAACATCACGCCTTTTATCCCCGACGGGGCAGGCAGAGGTCCACAATACGGCACATAATGCCACTGTACAATGTAACATCCACTTTTCACTATTTATGTTATGAGTCCCATGTAATAGGGGGTGAGCCTATTGCCATATACCGGACACATATTTTCAGACTTCGTGCTACTGCTGAGATTTTTTTTAAACCCAGTAGTACATTGCCCGACCCGGGAATCGAACCCGAGACCCCTTGCCCGGCAGTCGCACTTGCGATCACTCGGCCAACGAGGCAGTCTTTCCAAGGTAGTCAACCAAAGTACTTTGGGTTATGCAGTTATGAAAATTCACAACAGTATAAAAGTGCGAAATTAGGAATCGTTCTGTCTCATCCCCTATATAGGTAATGTCGATCAAAACATTTACGGCAAAAAATAGTGATATATTTTTACATGCACCTCTCTACTTAGGTAAAAAAATACTGATTTTAATAAAGTATAGCGTTTACAAAGTGAATTTGATTAACTTTAAACATGTTTATAAACGAAGGACCAGTAATTAAAATTGGTTGTTACACAATAGCTGTTGGAAACTTTGCATCAAGTTGTAAAGCTAGTCAGTTCTCTTGTTTCTTGAAGATTGTTTATTAATTATGTTGTCGGCTCTTCGCTTCGTGGTTACACTGAACTGACAAGGTCCTTTTATCGGGGATTTTCTATTGAGTTAATAGTTGGCTTTGCTCTAACATACTAACACTAAATGCGGAGAAGACAAAATTTATTCACTTTTCTATGCGCAAGAGTCCAATTACCTCTGTTTCACCCCAATTATACGCACATAAATGTAGAATTAGTTCAGTGGACACATGCAACTGCCCTTGTATATTAAAAACTACTTCCATCAGATATCTAGGCATCACAATTGATGAAACTCTTTGTTTCAAACAACACATCAGCGCTTTGGTTGCACGTGTCAGGAAATTGATGCACATTTTTAAAAAAATTAGACAAATCGGAGATTTTAAATTAATCACTCAAATCTACCTAGCGTTATGTCAGTCAATTATCCAGTACTGTGTTACTTCTTGGGGTGGCGCATCAAAAACTATTATACTCCCTCTAGAACGTGCTCAGAGAGCCATCCTTAAAGTTGCATTTTCCCATCCCTTTCTCTTTCCTACATCGATGCTATATAGATCCTGCAAAGTTTTAACTGTTCGCCAAATCTATGTAGTACAGCTAATACTCAAACAACATTCACTACTCAGCTTCAATGTTAATAATCCTACTAACAAAAGGCGGAATGATATAGTTTGCACTTCAACCTCAGTGTCAAAACACGCTTTTATAAAAAGATTCTTTATCTTTCTTGGCCCATTTTTATACAATAGAATAAATAGAGAATTAAGTATTTATAGCCTCAATCACTTTCACTGTAAAAAACTATTACATAATTATGTACACACCTTAACATACGATCAAACCGAGGAATTACTTGAAGTAAGCAAATAATTTTATTATAGTTGACTTAGTTATTTTTGCTTACGTTTGTTTATGAAACTGTACACGCGCACCTGTTATACTTAGAGACTAGCTTAATTTAATTTAGACATAACATTTTTAGTTTTATAAGCAATATTATTGTATTTTAAATATTTCAGTACATTTTTAACCTGAAACACAGGCTTGGACCTAGTTCAGGTTTCACATATTTTTAGACTTTGTTTAGATATTAAGATTTATTTTGTAATCTGGCTTTTTACACCAAATAAACATTTTATT